CAGGCCCTACTTCTCAGGCGACTCTGGGTGGATTTGAACCTCCAATCCTTCTATTAGCAGTAGAGCATGTTAAACCATTTGTACCACCCAGGGACTCCAAAGCTGAGAAACACATACAGAAGTGGGAACTACTAATATGACAGTGGTGATGTATGATGCTCATCCATCTCAGTTTTCTGGTTCTTTTTCTGATGTGTACCCTAGATAAACTCTTACACATGTGCACGAGTAGACATGCTGTGAGTATGTATAGCAGCATTATTTTTAGTGTTAAAAAACTACTGGAAATCCAAAGTTCATCAATAGGGAAATACAGTAACATGTTTCCTATATTTATACAATGGAATACAACAGAAAGCCAAACTAAACCCACAGCCATCAAGTCAATTCTGATTCATATAGATTTTCATTAAAATTAATAAATTGCATCTTCAATATCATTGTGAATAAGTCTTGAAAACCAGTATTAAGTGACAAAAGCAAATTATAGAATATGTACATACTGTTTACATTTATAAAAACATAAAACACACAAAAGGACACTATATATTATATATGTGCATGTGTAGTGAAAATATAAAAACATGACTGTTGTTTTTGTTAGATGCCATCAAGTCGGTTCTGACTCATAGAGACCCTATGCACCACAGAACGAAACACTACCCTGTCCTGTGCCATCCTCACAATCGTTGTTATGCTTGAGCCCATTGTTGCAGCCACTGTGTTAATCCATCTCGTTGAGGGTATTCTTTTTTGCTGACCCTGTACTTTACAAAGCATGATAACCTTCTCCAGGGACTGATCCCTCCTGACAACATGTCCAAAGTATGGAAAACGCAGTCTCGCCGTTCTTCCTTCTGAGGAGCATTCTAGTGATACTTCTTCCAAGGCAGATTTGTTCTTTCTTTTGGCAGTCCATGGTATATTCAACATTCTTCACCAACACCATAATTCAAAGGCGTCAATTCTTCTTCGGTCTTCCTTATTCATTGTCCAGCTTTCGCATGCGTACGATGTGATTGAAAATACCATGGCTTGGGTCAGGTGCACCTTAGTCTT